TAATCAAGCCCCGGCTCGTCCCTGCACCAATCCCAGCATGACAGACTCTATGTTGATATTTAAATAATCTCATTATTTGCACCCACAGCATCATCTCCATCACGGAGGGGCCTTACGTAAAGACAGAATTAGGTCAAGTTATTTCCAAAGCTATTTTCCCAGGGCCGGTCCCTTTTGTATGGGAAGATCAACAGACCTGACGGTTGATCGTCAGGCAATGGCATCTAATAATTGAGTCAGACACTGACCCCTAACATCTGCAGACAGCCGCTGTCCTGACTTTCCTGCTTTCACGTAACGAACCTTTCATTTGGGTGAATAATCATTGGTCCTGTTAGTGTAATCACATGATTTTACACCATGGAACCAAAAGCATGAATGCTTCTTTCAGGTTTTTTTTTTTTTTTTTTTTTTTTCCACTCCATCCCCTAAGATATAATTACAGCATTGTTGGATGAATCGGGAGAGAACACTATATTCCGTGGCTTCAGCTGTAATCCCAACGTTGCACGGGGCTTTATCTTGCATTCTGCTTAACATGGCAGAAAACACCAGGAAAGCCTTTCCTTAGCGACTCCCATTCACTGTGACACGCAGACGCGCAGCTATAATAATAAGCCCGAGCTCCGTACTGTGAGGAAACATAATTAGCGGGGAGAATGCGAGCAGCAGATATGTGAAGCCAACAACACAAGGCACCTGCCAAATGTCAAAAAAAAAAAAACAAAACCAAAAGTTTTTGCCGCTATTGTTGCGCTCTTATCAGTCTTTCTGGCTACGGTTGCCGTAATGGTGGTTTTTTTTTTTCTTTTTTCTAAAAGTCACCTAGTTTTTAAATAACAATGGGGTCGATGTTTCTTTTGAAGATGAAGATAAGTTACTGTACCTTTACAGCAAATAACAGTGAAGTCAGATGGAGTATATATCTATGTATAGTATATCTATAAATAATAAAAAACTTTAGCTGTAGCTCTGCATAACAAGACACATTTTTACACTTTGTTGTTTTTGTTATGACTAAGGAACAAGAACAGTGTCATTAAAAATAAAATGTCCAAAAATTACCAAATTAAATTAATAAAGTGCAAACTTTAGCTTTTGAGCTACAGGGTGCTATTTTTTGAACATTAATTTTCTTTTTCTTTTTAACTCTCTCGTATGGTTATATCTGAAAAACAGAAGCTTTGACTAGGCATATTTGGCTAGGCGTAATCGGCGGGACGATGATGTTTAACTGTCGGATTTGTGGTTTTGTTTTTCTTCCGAGCAGCGGCGCAGTGACTCAACGACATTTAACGTTACTGCTACATATAAAAGCGTTGGAGCTTTTTTTTTGGTTCACTGTGAGGTACTTCTAAGCTAACGCCGATATTAGCGATCACTTGCAAATCGACTGGTCATGACTGTCGATCAGCCAAATCCAGTCGCTAGTCAGTCGATTGGTGCGTCTACATAAAACATTCATAAATAAATAAATGTCAAAAGCACTTTTTAGAGAACCAGAAAAGACTAAGGTGTGCAATTAAAAGCTGACTCATCGGTCCTGTCAGCTGGTAGCATGTCCCTGAGTCACTAATACCCAGACTTCATTCACAGACCTCTATCATTGGTTGCTATAATAAGTCACATCAAGGCACTGTCTGGAGATTTTATTCATTTCTACTTCTGTGCTGCTCGTTCTCAGGTGAAATATCTCTGATTAAAAGTAACTAAGGCCCGAGTCAATTCAACTGTGACGTCCAAGTACGGAGGATAGGACGGAGAGGGAGGAGGACAGCAGGAGGACACGATTGCTATCTTTAGAAAAATCTATAATCATTAAATGACTTAATCAATCTGCCCATTCCCAGAGCTTCTGTGGGTAAGATGCCTTCGGTTTAGCCGGATGGGAAATAGGGGCGGAGTCAAAACAAGACTGGCTCGAACAGTGTCTTCAGACAACTGCATGAAGAGCCAGTAGCAGGCTTAGGTGTTAGTATGATTAGATCAGGGGTGTCGAACATAGGGCCCGTGGGCCAAAAACTGCCCACTACGATGTTTAATCTGGCCTACTTGAGGAATTTTGAAAATAACAAAAACACAAACACTTCATGAAGAAGTGATAATACATATCTGATGTACATGTGTGCATGAAAACAAAGGGGAAAACATGGACTTGTACTGTATGTTATAAATGTACTGGTCTGGTCCACTTGATGACAATAACTAATTTGCCGATGGTAAATAAATTTAATTATTCATTTAAGGCTTCTATCCCCAATCTTTTTTGTACCAAAGACCGGTAATACCGCACCAAGAATCGTTAGAATTTCAAAATAAAACGTCTTTTAGACTTTATTCTCTTAGTATCAGAGTCTGAATGCCAGAAGATTTTTCAAAAAGAAAAGTGAAGGGATATGACTGTTTTTTTTTTTAATGAAGTAAATTAGTAAAACTGAAGTCTCACTGCGGACCGTTACCAAATGACCTACGGACCGGCAGCGGTCCCTGCACCTGGGGTTGGGAACCGTGGGCGATTTAAAGGATTGTATCTCAAGCTGGGGTTGAGAACCGCGGGCGATTTAAAGGATTGTATCTCAAGCCTTTAGCATCATTCATAAGAAGAGCATGTGTGAAATATTAATTATGAACCCAGATGACCTACAGTCATTCTTCTATTTCACCAAAGTAGAAGATGCTGCTGGTGCTAATTCCGAACTGATTAGAAAAACTCACCAAAGATATAATTAACCTTATGTAGCCATTATTAAACTGGAGTTAAACTAACGGGAAAACCGATAAATAGCTGAAGTGCTTGAAGCTGTAGGTAACCCACTAAAATTGAAAGTTCCGACATTTTTTTTCCTGTTACCATTCTGCTTTGGAATGACTAATGCTGGATGGGATTTTACATTTTTCTAGTGTGCTAAATTCCTCCTAGCCCCTGCTGTTCTCCTCATCTTTCTCTTCCCCCTCTCTCAGTGCGTTGGACTGATGAGGCTGAAACTCTTGCTAATTGTACAGTCGAACACGAATGTGTTTTTTACTTACATTTGAAATGAGGGTAAATAACTAACACTGTCTTATGATATATGCCAGGGATCATCAACTGCCGGCTCCCAGCCCGCTGAACCGTCTAATACGGGGGTGTCAAACTCATTTCGGTTCACGGGCCGCATACAACATAATTAGATGTCAAGTGGGCCGGACCAGTGCAAACGTAACATATTAAACATCGTTTTCCCCCTTTGTTTTCATGAAACGAAGAATATTGGTATATTTATTATTATTAATTCATATGTAATGAAATATAATTGAACAAAAAATATCATGATCTGATCATGAAGTATTTTCAAAATTCATCAAGTGGGCCAGATTGAACTGCCTAGCGGGCCGGTTTGGGGCCCCAGGCCGTATATTTGACACCCCCGGTCCCATAATACGACCCATAACTGGATTGGATATTGTGTGGTTTCCACTATAAAAGGCTTTTGTTTTGTAATAAATATAATATAATAATATTATATGACATTGTACATAGACAAAAATGGGATTTTTATATCATTTCATTCAAGTGTCTGGCTCCCAAGCTGTCTGTCCAGGAACATTCTGGCTCTCTTTTCCAGTTTGGCGAAAGGCAATTTGTGTTTTTTTATAGCGTGGATCTTTATTGTACAAGCCTCTTTATCCATGTGGCGCTTGCGATGGAATAAAGTTCCGTCAGTTTTCCGTCGGTCTGTGGCAGTTTACTAATCCAGTGTCCAGCAGGACTACCGGAGCATTAAAATATTCCACCGAGCAGTTGTTTAATTTAAACGTAGGCGTTTAAACTCGGGGGCCGTCTGCAGCAGCAGGCACAATCATTGTGTTCATCTCATATGATACAAGATCACTGCGGCACGGGGGAGTACTCGAAAGCGAAACAATCCAAAGCTATTTTAATTAGCATACACGGTGAACTGCGACCTCCCTCGAGGCGCACGGTTCAGCGCTTCAGCATCCTCTCTCCACATGAGTAATTCCTCTGCCATGTAACCACCGTCACTAATGTGCTCTAAGTGTCATTAAATTTGAGAGCAAACGTGACACTCCTTTATGCCGTATGTGATGGATGACGATGCCGTCTGTGCAGGTATGATTCGGAGGCTGTCCTGGCAGCGTGACGCGGGTTAAAAATGTCAAACAGGAAGTGATTTACTTCCAGATGGGATTTGGGGGGAGGGTGGAGGGTGGTGGCATGATATGAAAACATGTTTTCTTTGATTGGAGAACAAGCCGAGCTAAAGTGGTCCAATTTTGAAACACTTCCCGTTACTTTACCTGACCTACAGCTGCAACTCAAACAGGAAATGCGATATCGCTCGCCACACATCTGCAACGCAAACGGGCCTAACTGCCGTCCCACTAGGGCAACGGTGTCAAATTCATTTTACTTAGATGCTAAGTTAGCCGGACCAGTGCAGCCATAACATAAGTACCTATAAATAACAATAGGTCCATGTTTTTCTTCCTTTGTTTTCATGCAAATAAGTACAGGTTTATGTGAAAATATTCATTATTTAATGAAATGTCTTTTGATTTGTATTC